CACTGCTGTGAATTTGGTATGTCAATGTTCTCCCCTGTGAAGTAGATATACATCAGTGTAGAAGCGTACAATAAATAGTAGTGAACAATGATTCTCAGTTACGAGTGTTGCTTCTGCATCATCAAGGTCTTCTTGTTAAAAATTGAAGACTTGAGAGGAACAAAGAATCCTATAACTGAGAGAACAAAAGCTTAACATTTTACAATTGTATGGAAGAAGTAAATCTGTTAAACATAACGTAAAAATGGCTAAAATATTAAAGAAGGTGAATGGTTAAAAAAAAAAAAAAAAGATAAACCAAGGTGAAACAGTTGTGTGTTCACTGCTAAATTAGTGCTAATATGATTTCCTTCCACACTAGTCTCGGTAACCGTGGATCGGTCCGCTGGGGTTTCTGCCCTTGGCCACTGCCCGGAAAACACTGCACCTGACCCCTAAGGTGCCTCCTGCAGGTGGTGGTCACATTACCAGCTACCATCTCGAAGGGTGGTTGGTCTCTCCCTTAGAGATGGGGTGAGTAGTGCGGCCATCCAGGAGGGGCTCAGAGAAGAGCCGCTGCTCCTCCACATTGAAAGGAGCCAGTTGAGGTGGTTCGGGCATCTGACAAGGATGCCTCCTGGGTGAGGTGTTCTGGGCATGTCCCACCATGAGGAGGCCCTGGGGCAGACCCAGGACACACTGGAGAAATTATCTCTCAGCTGCCCCAGAATAAGCTGGAGGAGGTAGCTGTGGAGAGGGAGGTCTGTGTTTCTCTGCTTAGGCTTCTACCCCCATGACCCAGCCCCGGATAAGATTGATGGATGATTTTCCTGTTAGAAGAAGTAGTAGCTTAATTTAAATTGGGCTAGATTGGAGAGTTTACTGTTAGTAACAGGCCTATAGTTTTTGCCCACAGTGGTTTCTATGGAGTGCCACTGTGACTGCCCACTTTTTTTTTTTTTTTTCCCCCCCCCCAAGGAGACTGTTTTTAAAAGGGGGTTTCTCCTTCATTTTTCCCACTGACACTTCAGGAAATCCATGAGAGTTTGAGGCCTTGAACCAAGCCAAACAGCTAAGAGAGGAATTGTGGCCATAAAGCAAAAAAGAGGAAACCTAAAGGGAGAAAAGAAATCAAGAGTAAAAGACTATGCACATTGTGTTAATGGTTAAAGAACTACACATCCTACAATGCATTGCACATTGTTACCCAGGATTCAGTGGTTGAGTAAAAAGCTGTTGCTTGTGATTACTGATGGTTTCTTTCCTCTCTTCTCTGCCTTGCTCCTGTGCAGGAGGATCTCCCTGCCCGAGTCCTTCCTGACAGCAGACATCATCCTCAGCACGCTGCAGAACATCACAGAGGGTCTTGTGGTCTACCCCAAAGTCATTGAGAGAGACATCTGCCACGAGCTGCCCTTCATGGCCACAGAGAACAATATTATGGCGATAGTGAAGGCAGGAGGCAACAGACAGGTAGGAGAAAATGCCCTGTGAGGAATTCTCCTCTGTGAGTCAGAATGGACACATTAATAATAGTTTTGAACATAACTGGATGAATGCATTTTTGCTTAAGCAGGAGAGATGGTTTACTGGGCAGAAGATGCCAGTGGTAACCAGAAAAACAGATGACTGAAATGAGATCATCTTACTGACTAGTAACCAGTGTTTTGACCATTTAAATAAAGAAGCTGATTACCAATAACCAGACCTGTCATGGAGACCTAACAACATGGCTGTTAAAGTCAGCTCCACCTTAATGTTTCTCTGTTTTTTCCTGTGTCTCCTTCAGGAGTGCCACGAGAAAATCAGTGTTCTCTCCCAAGAGGCAGCAGCTGTGGTTAAACAGGAAGGTGGAGACAATGACCTGCTGGCCAGAATCCAGCGAGACCCCTACTTTGCACCCATTCTAGGGCAGCTGGATGCTTTGCTGGACCCCAAGACCTTTATTGGGCGTGCTCCACAGCAGGTACAGCATGAACAGCCTTATTTTTGTTCAGTCTGACAACAGATGAATGTTTTCAGCCAAGCTGCAGCTCTCCTATTACTGCAGCTGTGTCTGTTGCCCCCCTTGATGATAGTTTCTTTTCTTGTTCCTGCTCCTCTTCAGGTGAAAATCTTCCTGGCTGAAGAAGTACGCCCCCTACTGGAGCCCTATAAGGCCAATATGGCCCTCAATGTTGAGAAAAGAAAGCATTAAAAATGGTGAAATGTCCACTGCAGCCACTCTGTTTTGTTTTTATCTTTGAAGTTTACACAGACAGGCCATGAGACCAGCATTACTCACACTGACATTGAAGAACAATCTAGGTCAGGGGTGTCGAACTCCAGGCCTCAAGGTTTGAGATATCACCATGGGTCAACACACCTGAACGAAATGACTAGTTCATTAACAGGCCTCTGGAGAACTTCAAGACATGTTGAGGAGGTCATTTAGCCATTTAAATCAGCTGTGTTGGATCAAGGACACATCTAAAACCTGCAGGACACCAGCCCTTGAGGCCTGGAGTTCGACACCTGTGATCTAGGTGGTAGTAACGTGAAATTCCAAGTTATGTATATTCAAACTAATGTGCTAAAATTCAGTCATGGCTCTGCCATACAGGAAGCTCTGTGAGGGTATGTCCCTTTTTTTTTTTTTTTTTTTTTTTTTTTAATGAAAAATAAGAGCCACATGAGGATATTCGTTTAAAATTCCAGTAGCAGTATAATGTCCTCGGAAGTGGATATCAGACCCTTGTAGAGCAATATTGAGTATTTTGGTCTAAATAACCCAAAATGTGATGTCCACATATGTGGACGCCAGGTCCTGAGGTTAATCAAATAAAATTTGTTTGCCCTGTGCATGGGGTACTTAAAGAAACCAAACAATATTTCAATATATTACATTGCAGCAAAAAGAATTAAGGTCACTCACATAGAAGTCGGATTCTTTACCTACGTGTGCTTGAAGCCAGTGGCGGAGCGGGGGGGGGTGGCTTACTGGGCTAAAGCCCGTGTCAGTTTTGGCCGGCGGTAGTGATGGTCCGCTTGAAGCTGAAGCTCCGGTGCGTGTGTCAAAAAAATCAACACACTACTTCAGAAGCACTGTGTCGAAGCTTGATTCGTTTGGCCAGAGTCACGTGATCAGTGACGTCCGAAGCTTCATTTAGAACCTAACTGCTTCGTGTCTGATTCAATGATTTATAAGGAAGCGAATCATTCGCGGGATTTGTGGAGTGTTTTGATGGTGACAGATAGCGAACCACTG